TAGTACCAGTACAGCTTGGACTATATTGAAGCTGATAATCATTATTGAACACAGTAAGCATTTCAGGTACTTCTGATAGCAAGATAAACGTTTGTTGGGGTTGGTGTTCCACATGGATCTGTTTTAGGCCCACTTCTTTTTTTAGTTTATATAATAACATGATTACCTCGGAGTTCATGGTCTTTGCAGGGATGTTTAATGACTAACATCCCTCCTTCATGAATGACATGAGGGAAATTTAGAAACTAAATATCCCTCATGCTATTCATGAGATGTTGTCCCTCATAACACAATCATCAGGACACCGAGTCTAAGAATATCCGGTTCGAAATAAGATGCATGGTTAATGACCATGTATGCCATCCTGATACGTGCTATATGCAATGTGGGATAGAGAAAGAGGTMYTTGAGTCAGAGTCTAAAGGCTAGGAATATTTTTGTGCATGCGTTTACTAAGTTCTATAATTGCAAACAGCTGGAATTTGACTAAAAAAGGAGTGCAATATTTTTTCCATTTTAGCATAGGCAGACATTTCTCATGTTGATTGCGCATGTGCACAAAGCTTATCTTGAAAAAAAGGAAAAATAAGCAGTACACAAACATCAATCTGTAATTTACATATTATTTATTAACATTTAAGGTTATTTTATTATTTTAATGTACTGAGGTTTCGGTATTCCTGATTTGCGTGCTATAATTCGCTCAATGTTCACAGGATTCACAGAAATTTCATTTATTAGCTTATGTATTTTTAATGTTTTTTTTTTTTTTAACATTGCTTTATCTCTTTATTTATTCATAACATTGATATTGACTGTTGTGTTGCCCCGTGCAGAATTCCTCCTACATCTATATTTGTTTCACTTGCTTCGCAAGCTTTGCATAACAACAAATCACCTTCACTGCAATTGACACTTGATGTAGTACTGGTCGAGCTAGTACTATTAGAGGTTTTCAAACTATCTAAGCCACCTACTACATTGCTTGAGCTTGAGAGAACGTTGGATACAACGGTTTTCTCTTTGGGATTCTCTCTGTGGTATGCTCTTACACCCTCTATTGACCGATGGCCACTCCTCTTCATGATGGCTTTCTCAGGCTCTCCGGCTTCATACATACGTGTTATTGCAGTAGAACGGCCAGAGTGGTTCGTGAAATTACCATCTAGATCAACATCTTTGTACATCTGTTTAAATCGGTTTTGTAACATATTATGGCAAATAGGACTTTTATCAAACCATATTTTTCTCCATACTTCCAATTTTTTCTGGGCCTGAATTAAGATGCTGGGACAGGAACATTATCAGGACTCGCAATAAATGTCAAATGTTAGTATGAATTTGGAATAATATTTTGCGTAGGTGATTTCAAAGTTTTAACACATTCTGCTTACCATTTGTTGATGTAGAAGAAGTAATTAAAAGTGAAAGACTTCTCATCTGAAGGATCTTCATGGTGCTGAACTATCTTTCTCTCAATCTTTCTTCTCTTCAACCCCCCTTGATTTGTTTTGGAGACTTTCTCTTAATACGTAACAAGCATGGAACCATCAGGCTTTTCTTCAAACTCAATCTGCTTATGGCTCAACTCGCGTAGTTCTTTCCCTCCACGAAGAACGAACAATTTCCTGGAAAGAAACATAAGGGTGTTGATAACAACATCTGGAGAATGTGTTCCTAACACTCCTTTGCTGCACATTTAATTTTCATCGTTGACTATGATGGCATCTGCTTGCTTTTTAAATGGTTGTTGTGAAGCCTGTAGCTCTTTTAGGCGACCGTCGAGTGTTTGCTGAAATTTCTTTGAGTTGAATGAAAGATTGAAAATACTGGATGACCTTCTTTGATTACACGACTCAAACCACAAAATAAACTGTATAGAACTTCGTGACGGTAATTACTGCCATTCTTCTTCTTTACTTCAACCGCAAATCTACTGAACCAGTAGTCTATTTCCTCGATTGTGATGTTTTCTAGCATCGGCACACTCGGAAATCTTATGTTTTCTGGCTCAAAATCTTCGAACGCTTTGTTTCTCTCTTTGGCCCAATGCTTATTGACATTGGTACTCCAAAGTGTATGCCTTTTGGTACTCAAGGGGACTGTCTTTTCCCTTGCTTCCTCCACTTTTTCTCTGGATACGAAAGAAAACGTCTTTTGAGCCATCCTAGCGAGCTTAAACTCGAATGAATATCATCAGTGCATATGCAAACGACTGAATGAATTTCGAATTATGAATGTGTGTGCAATTGCATTGTGTCATTTAAAAAATAGGCAAATTCCCTAGCGGCATTGCATAAATCAGCAGCTTTATAATACTCTGTAATTTATGCATTTAACTATATCTAACACAATTTTCTATATTTCTAGTTTTATTCCTCGGAAATCATGTTATTACAAAGTAATTACATGACTTTTTCGGGATATTATCCTTTAAATGTCCCCTCGGCCTCGGGAGGTTTAGTAAAAGTCCCTCGGCATATGGCCTAGGGCCTTCTACAAAACCTCCCTCGGCTTCGGGGACATTTAATAACTAATATCCCTCAAGTGATGTAATTACTTATAATAAATGATATTGTATCTGGTCTTAACTCTCTTCCTTACATATATGCAGATGATACTACTCTCATTGAAAATGTAGATAAGCCCTACTTATCAGCTGTCAGACTTAACCGTGATCTTTCCAGCATTAGTGATTGGTCTCATAAATAGAAAGTTACATTAAATCCTTCTAAATCACGGTATATCACTTTTTCTTTGAAACGTGAAAATGACCCTCATCCTGACCTTTTTTTGGACGGAAGAAGGGTTGACGATGTCAAATCACATGAGCATCTTGGGGTAACTTTGACTAGTAATATGACTTGGAAAGAGCACGTTGTAAAGGAAAGCGACAAATCATACAAACGACATAATTTACTGAAATCTTTAAAGTATGAACTAAATAGATCAACTCTCATTTGTTTATATAAAAGTTTAATTAGGCTTCTTTTGGAACATGCTGACGTTATTTGGGATAATTGCTTTAAAGCTGAAGTGGAATTGTTAGAACATATTTGTACGAATCTACCAGAGTGGTCACTGGTGCAAGTCTCAATCCTTTTGGGGTCAAATGTTAAATATGTTTGAATAAAACGATAAATATGTTTAAATAAAAGACAATGTGGACACAAGTGATTCAAAGGCTTCCGATTTAAATGATGACCTATCAAAGTCAACACGAAAATAGCCAACAGTGTTTGCCTTTCGAGTCATGATGGACTCCTTTGAAACCTTGTAAAAGGACTCTACGTAGTACCCTGAATCATTTTCATAAGTCCAGGGACTTTTAGAATTTCTGAGGACTAGTTAGCATCGATAGTAATCCTATATTACAGTTACCTTAAGAATCATTTAGGACTAAGAATTTGTTTAATTACTAAATATATTTATAATTCAGAATAAATTAAATATATTAAAACTTATATTCGAAAACCATGAGTTCATTACAAATCATTTATGATTTCCAATTCTTTCAAACAACCTATTATGTGTTAACTCTTCTTTTTCTTCAGAAAACAGCTCATCACTTCCACTGTCCTTTTCCACTTTTGTAGCCGCAACTTGCAGACTCTTGACGTCTGATGGTAAGAATTCTTCATGGATGTACACCGGTGGATGTACACTGGAGGAGATTATCATGTTCTGTATCATCACTATCATCACTGCTATTAGCATTGTCATCATTCTCTTTTTGGCTTGACGCAGACACTGCCATTTCCTCCATATTCTCCATAACTTCGACAAAAGGAGAGGCAGTACTATAGAAAGAATGTTAAGAGGAAGTTAATTTTAAACAAAATATGGTTAGGGCATAACCTTTGGTAGGAGTTTTGCGAGGGCCAGACTACATCCATGTTTACTGACTAAGAACGTTCATCAGTATGCCAACTATTTCCACAAAAGCCTTTGCCACATCCTTTAGGTCATTAGATTTGTGGTTGGCAAATGAATAAATGTAGCTTGTAAAGTACGTACGTTTTTGTAACTTATATTTTATATTTATATCGCATTTCAAAATTTGGAGCAGTGACAAAACATTCGCCGAAGTCACATACATGCACTGCAGATGAAAATTGAAGATGTTATAACTTACTCGATGTTGAAGTTGTCCACATATTCGGGAAACTTTTTTCGTCTTATTTCGACAAAACTCGCAACGTACCCCGCAGCGCCAGTACTTGGAAAAACGCCACGTCTCCATGCGATCTGTTTCCTCAATATATTTTTGCTTCTTCACAATAAGCATACTCAGCACTTCAGGATAGCCCTTTTCCTTTATTCTTCCCCTGTCTTTGAGAGTCTTGAGTCTAGAAGAAATCAAGGTCAAAAGCTTTGGAGTCGGAGCACATGCCGCTTCCCAGCTTCCGAACCTGGCAGGCGCAAATTGATTGAACAACTCAAGTGTTTCTGGTTTAGAACACTGGAGAAGGCGACCAAAGCCATTATTATTTTTTTTTCTTACCTCCGAAAGTGTGAATCAAAACAAGCTTCAGTACAAATGGTAGCCATTTAGTCAAGATTCCAGTTAGAGGCTTGTCAGCATGACGTGTAGTCAGGCATAACAATAGTCTTTTCCCCTAGGGAAACTGATGGTGCAAAGACTTGATACGTGAGATTTGGAACTACACGTACCGCTAACACTACCGTTCTTTCTAACGAAACTAACCTGTGTTTTGGAGTACCACAAGGTTCTGTACTTTGGCCTGTATTGTTCTCTCTACATGTTGCTCCAATAGAAGATATTATTTTTTCACATAACTTACAACCCATGCTTTATGAAGACGACACGCAGATCTGTCTTACATCGGGAAACGAACATGGAGTCACTGTAGACAAGATCGAAAATTGTATCAAGCACATCATAGGATGGTGCTCCAACAACTTCTTGCTATGCAACACAGATAAGACGAAGGTGATCCACTTTTCGTCTAAATTCAGCAGCGCTGAACCCATCCACGTGGTTAACATTGGAGCTGATGCTGTACAGTTAAAACCTGAGGTGTGTAATCTGGGTATCATGTTGGACAAACATCTGGTCATGACTAAGCAAATTAATGATGTATGTAAATCGTCCTATCTTTCACTACGTAACCTTGGAAAAATCAGGAACTATGTAGATCAAACTGCCACTGAAAAACTAGTTCATGCTTTGTGTGCTCCAAAATTGATTTTTGTAATAGCCTCCTTTTTGGTATTCCAATAAAGCAACTTTACAAATTGCAACGTATATTAAATGCAGCTGCTCGCATTACCATCAGAGCAAAGAAATTTCAACACATAACACCTATATTCAATCGTCTTCATTGGTAGAACGTTGCCAAAAGAATTGAATTTAAGTTTTTAACGGTCACATACAAAGCTATAAACGGTATCGCTCCATTCTATATAAGTGATATTCCCAAAATACACCAACCTACTCGTAAGCTAAGGAGTGCCACACGAGGAGTAATTTTAAAACTCTCTCCATATCTTACTAAGTCATATGGCGCGCGTAGCTTTGCCGTAGCAGCGCCCAGACTATGGAACCTTTTACCACCAGATATGAAAACATCGCAGTCTTTGGAAATGTTCTAGAGAAAACTAAAAACATATTTGTTCAATTTGTAACTTTAATCTATTTTTTCACTTAACATTTCATCGTAATATTTCTAAAGCGCATTGAGAATCTATAATGCGCTACATAAGAACATATTTTTTATTATTACCCAGGAGAGCAAACAAGGTACAGAATCTTGAAACTCCTGGATTACCTGCCAGAGTTGGCATCCCTGATATATTTGTGAAAGGTGTATTTATATGGGGGAAAATGTTCACTTGGTGTTGAAACAATCGTAATTTGAATGTGGAGCAAATGTGGAGAAGCACAAACATACATATATACATACTCTCAACAATATTCACTTTGAAATTGTTTGATCTCTCAATTCTTTTTGTATTTTTATATTCTGTTTATAAAATATGTTATGATTCAGTTAATTGTACTTACCATTTGCTTTTTTATCTGCTTTGGACCATGGAATTTTTACCTCTAATCGGTGGGGCAATTTACCAGAGTCAGCTGCAAATTAAAGGTGCGATAGAGTATTTAAACATTTTGAGAAGCCTTCAGGTATTATGTCAGTAATTTATGAACATTGCACAACTTGCGTCACTAGATACATCTAAACCTGGGGGGTAGGGGGACTCCATTTGTCCAAGCGATAGGGGTGATCTGTGAACGTTTTAATTAGGTAACATTTTAGGGTCATTTCTTATATCTATTTTTATTGAACATGAACAGAAGAAAAAGCATGAACAGAAGAAATTCTCTTTTCACTGATAGCCTTACAATATTCCAGTAGTTCCCATGTACCATTTTGGTGTCAACCTCTGTGTTCTAAATTTTTGAAAATCATTATTATGTACCTGAGAAGTTGTGAGGCAATTTAATATGCATCATCTTCAAGCGCAGAGGTTCATCCCCTCTCAAGAAGATGGCAAAAGAAAAAAGTGTGACAGTCCACAGCCATAAGCCACGCAAACCCTGGAGACATAAGTGTGTGAAAATTACAGTTGATTATTAAATTACTAATATTAAATAAGGACAAAAATTCATAATATTAAATTTTTAAGTTTATAATAGTTATAGAGGTTTTTCATGTGACATCATGGCAGTCATGCTTTAAAAAACATGCATTGTTTCCTGCTCTCAAACATAGCTGCCGTGAAAAACATCTATAATATGATGCATGCAAGTGCATGCTATAAACACTTTTAGAATCTTCATAATTGGGTAACTCAACTGTCTTCATGCAGTAATAGTCCATTTCACGGTTACCTGAACACCATTTTGGATTTGCATGAAAGCGAGGCTGACCTTGGGTCGTCTGGAAAGGCTTGAAAAGTTTGTACAGTAGTTCCGGTGACTCTTAAGTAAAAATGAGCTCAAGACGTCTGAAAAAACGAGAGAAAAAGCGTAGGTGCGCAATGTCGGTGCTGCCTATGGCTGTACGAACGCTTTTTATGAGAACCCAGACTTGAATTTTTTCTTTTTCCCGAGTGACAAATCAAAGCGAAATCGATGGTGTAATCTTATAAAGAGACGGCACGCCATGATGGTTTCTATATCACGAGGTGAACAGTGGTTTGCAGTAGTCATTTTTCGGAAAAAGACATTGATAAAACATTAACTGGGATCAAGAAACTGAAAAGAGGTAAGCTTAAAGGTAAACTTTTTTCATGCTGTTTTAAGCAAACCGGATCAAGCAAAAGATTTATTATTGTTTTTGAAATCTACATCATGCAGACGCGGAACCATCACTTGGTCATCAATGGAGTAAACCTAAAGATACCAACAAAAGAGCACTTCCTAAATCAAGAAAAGTTGAGACACTGGACAAAAGAAATGAAGATATTGTAACTAGTTGTGATATCGAAGAGGATGTTGCAGTTCCAGTGGAAAACATCGATAATATGGAGGTAAATGTGTTATGGCAAAGTAACTTACATCTCAATAAATTTTACATACTTGGCTTTGTGAGCTTTGGAGATTAATAACTATTGTTCCAATTTACCTTTAGGGCTACCAAGAAAACTCTCAGGATGATCTTATAAAAGAGCTGAGGATGCAAGTAGATGGACTTCAGAAACAAGTACAGTCATTAAACGATGAATGTCAGTATCACAAGAGCAAATATTTTCTCTCAATTACACCATTGATTTCGTTTTGATTTGTCACTCGGGAAAGAGAATAAATTCAAGTCTGGGTTCTTATAAAAAGCGTTCGTACAACAATAGGCAGCACATTGCGGACCTACGCTTTTTCTTTCGTTTTTCAAACGTTTCGAGCTCATTTTTACTTGAACAGTCACCGGAACTACCGTATAAACGTTTCAAGCCTTTCAAGACGACTCAAGGTCAGCCTTGCTTTCATGCAAATCCAAGATGGCGTCCAGGTAACCGTGAAATGGACTATTGCGCATTCTGTCCATCAGCTGCAGAGCAAAAGAAGGTGCATTTTTTGGTTCATATGGAACCGTCCCTCACTTTGTGTCCGAGGTTGAGTGTCGAGCTGGCCTTTTTATTAGCTGCTTTATAGTTTGCTTGACAGATAAATAATGTAGAAAATCATATTACTTAATTAAGTGAGCATGTGCTTTGCATAAGTAAGTAATATAAACAAAAGAAATAATGTACAAGATTGACAGAAGATTAACCATTGATAATGCCCTTGTATGGGTAGGTAAGCTAATAGATTGTTTGCCTCATAGAATTATAAAATTAACCTAACATTTAGGGTACAAACGCTAGATTGCAAATATTATTCCATGAAATAGCTAACTAACTAAATAACACTAATTTCTGCAAAATCCTTTGTCTTCTGTTGTTTAAGTAGTGCTATTTATCACTTATTAGTTACCCCTTTTAAACAGGTTTAGTGTTAAAAGAACTCTACTGCACTATCTTATTAAAGAAATCGAAAACGCAGTTTGTGTGCAGTTATAAAGCAAGGGTTGTTGGCAGAACACGAGAGAAGTGTTAGGAGAAATACGCTTATATAGATGGAAAATAATTACAAATAATTTCGATGGTTTGACCATACGGGCCCGAGTGCCCATACGCATCAAACCAGTGCCTAAATGGAGCAGCATGGCCTTTAACTACTGGAAGCTAGAAGCCTTTGCATTTAAGAGTACCAAGCTTCTTCCCCTTGGTTTCACCCAACATTTCTAAAATGAATATAACATTGTTTAGACGGGAAGAAAATGACTATGCGTGACAATTTATGCGGGAGATAGACTGGGTACGAAACCTTTGACATTAGCACACGGCGGGACCCGCGTTCATATTTAATGATTTCTGCAGTCCCGCTTTAAGTGAAGTATAATAAAGCATTTTTTTACATAAAAGGGTATAACTCACAGTTAACGAGCCAACAGCAATTGGTAATATTACAATGATACCCTACGAACACAAAAAATATTTACCAAAAATCTTTTCAACGATAGAATCCGATACACGTGTTATGGAACAAAAGGACCAGAGACCATAACATAAACATAACCCGCGATTGACCCCACTTATCTTTTGTTATTTAAGCAATAGAAAACTTTTTCCGTGTTTACATAGCCTGATAGCAACACGAGGGGAGGTTGGGAGAATTCGAGAC